AGCACCGAGGGAAACTTGTTGAGCGAGGATTTTTTTCAAGGAATTAGGTTTTAAACTGAGTATTTTAAGCGCTCAAGATATAAAATTACTCTTAAAATAATGTAAAAATATTGCCAGACATAAAAAATATTTGCATAAAAAAGAATTAGGTCGAGGATTTTAGAAAAATAAATCTTATCAAATACTATCATTTAGGGGTGTGCAATTTTGTGAACATTTTCTTAAATCATTTTACAGAAGCAAAATTGTATTCTACTTCGAATTTAAATGCATCATATTAAAATGAATTTTTTTACAAAAAGTGGCTCCCTCAGATTAGACTTAAAGATAGAAAATGTAAGAAAATAACTAAATATATGAAATTCAAATTTTTAAAAGCATTTTAAAATGGATATCAATACATTCTGCGTAAAAACCGTAGTTCATAAAATTCCAAGAGTTCAAAAATATTAAAAAATTGGACGAGCTATGTCAAAAATAGTTTTTTCTCTTTCTAAATCTTTTTAGTACTCAAAAAATATGTTTTTTGCTTTAAATCGGTCAATTTGCAATATTTTTATATTCTGTATTTTCATTTAAATTCAGGAAAACAACCCAGTTTCAAGAATACCCATTTATTTAATATCTGTTTAAAGGGAGTGTTTAAGATTAAAACCTTTATCTGTATTAATGTGTTTTTTTTACATTTTTTATCATTACAACCCATTTCAGGGAACCAATTCTGGGAACCATTTCAGGGAACCATTTCTGATTATTGTAAACATTTTATTTTTAAACCATGCAGCCAATAAGAATTCCAAGTAGAATACAACATTAGTAAAAATTATGAAAAATGTCAGAAATTGTTTTGATGTCGCTGTAATGTTTCTAAAAACTAAATTGTGTTTCAATGCTGAAATCATGATAAATCCAATTTTTTAAATTGGAAATTTTAATTACTGACAGCGTTGGTTAATGCTTAAAATCTACAGTAAACTTTTAAGTTGGTCTCCAGAAAAGGGGGGGTTAAAAGATACTCTTGACCCCCCCCTCCTCTTTTTCACGGGGGGGGGGTCTTCGATCCCTTGACCCCACCCCCCTATATCCGCGCCTGCAAATGGAGGATATGAAAGTAGAATTTGAGGTTATTAAGTACAAACAACATTATATTTAGAAAATGCTGACTAAAAAAACTAACTCAGTTTTTTTTCTTTCCAATAATAATAATCTTAATATAAGAGAAAATAAAAGTCACTTAAGATTACGTCTACGGACCCTCAAAGGCAAAATCCTAAACAAAATAATTTTATTTAATTCATTAAAGAGACTGTAAGCGTATTTTAAAGTGACCATCTGTACAAAGATGGCAATGCTTGATTTACAACGTTACTTTTTAAAGTTTTGTCTGATCAAGCATGAATTGCATGAAAAATTATCAGAATTAAACATTTGAGTTAGGAAAGCGCAACGAGGTTATAGTGTATAGAGTGATAATGTACGCTAATCAACGAGGTTATAGTGTATAGAGTGATGATGTACGCTAATCAACGAGGTTATAGTGTATAGAGTGATGATGTACGCTAATCCTTTACTATTCTTATAGGCCATAAACTATACCGAGAGCGTACCTATAGTATTCAATATTAGTACACAGTTGTAAGTGTACATTACAGCTAGCTGAGCACACAGGTAGAGTACTATCATCCCCCCTGGGATAACGACGTTATCTTCTACATTTTTGTATCAGAAAGGTTTCAAGGGTACCATTGCGAATCGGGCATTGACATCTTAACATTAAGGGTCACTAAAAATTACCCTTTAATCATATATTTTGATCCTGAATCCCGTATCTGATCCTGAATCCTGTATCTGATCCTGAATCCCGTATCTGATCCTGAATCCCGTATCTGATCCTGAATCCCGTATCTGATCCTGAATCCCGTATCTGATCCTGAATCCCGTCTGTATTTCCAGGTTGACAAACCTCGAGTACTTGGGGAATGATATGATTGAGGCTGGGAATGAGTTTGGAGTGAGTACTCCCTATGGAGCTGCCCTGGTTCGTGTCGGTCAAACCCAGCAGAGGTAACCCCCTCCCCCCGCTCTGAAACAGCTCCCCCCTTTTAGGACTAATCTATTTTTACCTTTACTCGTGCTAGCTGCCGAAAAGTCGGCCCGGTTGATAATTTTTGATAATTTTTGCTGGTTTTTAATAATTTTTAATAGTTTTCAATAATTTCTAATAGTTTTCAATAATTTTTAATATTTTTTGATAATTTTTGATAATTTTTGTTAATTTGTAATTGTTTTTGATATTTTTTTATGGTTTTTGATGATTTCTGATGGTTTTTGATCATCTTTTTATAATTTTTGATAATTTTGGACAATCTGAAATATTTTTTGTTTTTTATTAAGGTTGGGTCAGATTGAGAAGGATTATATATCCTCGGGTAACGAAGGGATGATTGCTCCTTTACAAAGGTATTCTTTCTTTCTAAGGGAATGCTCACGACAAAAAGTAGTATTGAAGGGAGCTCAGGAAGTATAATTCCTATAAAATTCTCTTTTACATTCTTGTATTAGGTCAGTTTCATTCAAATCCTCTTTCAGTTCATTTTGAGTGTTAGCAAAAAAAACGGTAGAAAACTGTGCACTGATTGTCGTCTTCTTTCTTTCTTTTCTAGAAGGGTTAAGGGGAATATACTGTCGTGTTTCTTCTACCTTAACATCCTTGTTCCAACTGTCCAGTAATGTCTAACCTAATCAGGGTTTATTAACGAGCTTGGTAATTTTTCAGAACCATTTGAGATTGCAACGGCGGTAGGATCTATCATTCTATTTGACTAATCTGACTATTCTAATCTTATAATCGAAATAAGTGCCCGGCATTTGAAAAAAATCGAGTGTTTTTAGCCAGATGTTACCCCCAAGGTACCCATGGGTGCCCTCAACAAATTTCAGCCAATTTGGTCCAGCCGTTTGGCCAGCTATAGCTTTACATATATATATATATATGAGCGAAGATTTTATTATTTAGATATAGAGATCCACATGAAAATTAGCGTCAAAGTCTAACAAACAAGGGTGTTATATGTGTTGAACCATGATAATTTCCTCCCATTGTTTCTACAGCAGAAATGTGCACTTTTGTAGATTACCCACACTTGAAGAAAATTATTTATAAAGAAAAGATGATTATAAATTTAAACATTCATTCTAGAAGCTCAATTACAATTTACAAAGTATAAAATCCTTGGCGATTAGTCCACTGTTTTTTAGTTATCACTGTAAAACATGGTACACAGCTTGTAATCTTGCTATTTCTATTATCACAACCCAATAATCCATTAAATACAAGCAATGCCAAGAAGATTTGGACGTGGTTACTTTAATCTCAATCTTTAGGTTTTTGGACGGAGAAATGAAAAATATTATGAGAGAGAGAAAGGTAATTGTATTTCCTTTATTTTTCAGCTGTTTGTTCTCATGAGGAAAGTTAAAAAGTATTATCGTAAATAGTTAAATTTTGATTAGCTTGATTAACATTTATTTCAAGATCTTGGTCAAAATAAATTTTCTGGATCTTGATAAAAATGAAGGTCAAGATTACAGTCAAGATTAAGATAAAGATTATAGATAATGATTTGATCTATCTGCTAGATATTGCCAAGGTCAAGATCAAGATTAAGGATAATGATCTGATCTATCTGCTAGATCAAGGTCAAGATCAAGATCAAGATTAAGGTCAAGGTTAAAGATAATGATCTGATCTATCTGCTAGATCAAGGTCAAGATCAAGATCAAGATTAAGATCAAGGTTAAAGATAATGATCTGATCTATCTGCTAGATCAAGGTCAAGATCAAGATCAAGATTAAGATCAAGGTTAAAGATAATGATCTGATCTATCTGCTAGATCAAGGTCAAGATCAAGATCAAGATTAAGATCAAGGTTAAAGATAATGATCTGATCTATCTGCTAGATCAAGGTCAAGATCAAGATCAAGATTAAGATCAAGGTTAAAGATAATGATCTGATCTATCTGCTAGATCAAGGTCAAGATCAAGATCAAGATTAAGATCAAGGTTAAAGATAATGATCTGATCTATCTGCTAGATCAAGGTCAAGATCAAGATCAAGATTAAGATCAAGGTTAAAGATAATGATCTGATCTATCTGCTAGATCAAGGTCAAGATCAAGATCAAGATTAAGATCAAGGTTAAAGATAATGATCTGATCTATCTGCTAGATCAAGGTCAAGATCAAGGTTAAAGATAATGATCTGATTTATCTGCTAGATCAAGGTCAAGATCAAGATCAAGATTAAGATCAAGGTTAAAGATAATGATCTGATCTATCTGCTAGATCAAGGTCAAGATCAAGATCAAAATGAAGATCAAGGTTAAAGGATAATGATCTGATCTATCTGCTAGATCAAGATCAAGATCAAGATTACGGATATTGATCTGATCTATCTGCTAGATTAAGGTCAAGATCAAGATCAAGGTTAAGGATAATGATCTGATCTATCTGCTAGATATTGTCAAGATCAAAATCAAGATTAAGGATAATGATCTGGTCTATCTGCTAAATCAAGGTCAAGATCAAGATCGAGATTAAGATAAAGATTACGGATAATGATCTGATCTATCTGCTAGATCAAGGTCAAGATGAAGATCAAGATAAAGATCAAGGTTAAGGATAATGATCTAATCTATCTGCTAGATCAAGGTCAAGATGAAGATCAAGATAAAGATCAAGATTAAGGATAATGATCTGATCTATCTGCTAGATATTGTCAAGATCAAGATCAAGGTTAAGGATACTGATCTGATCTATCTGCTAGATCCTGGAGAATAAGAGACTGGATCTTGATGCGTGTAAAAACAAGGTCCGGAAGGCTAGAAGCATGGCAACACAACCCCAGGTTAGTGTCATCTTAGCATTTGCTATTTGCATTCAGTAATTAAAGGGACTGTAAACGTAATTTCAAGTGACCCTCCATGCAAAGATGGCAATACCCGAGAAACAACGGTATCCTTAAAAGCTATTTCTGATCAAGTATGATCAGATAAAGGTTTCAAGAGTATCGTTGTGAATAGGGCATTGTCATCTTTACAGGAGGGTCACTTGAAATTACGCTTACAGACCCTTCAGTTCGGAAATCAGTTTGGAAATTAGTTTGAAAATCAGTTAGGAAATCAGTTCGGAAATCAGTTTGGAAATCAGTTTGGAAATCAGTTTGGAAATCAGTGTTTTTTGTCAGTCAGTAACCATCGTGTGTTGATCAGTTAGTAATGCAATGGGAATCAAGGTTGTATAATAAGGTTGGTTACTCTCGATGCGCTCCAATGTACGGAAAATGTCGTCTTCTCTGAAAGATAGATAAATAAAATATTTGACGTCACTATCGCCTCTATAATCAGTGACGTCATATAAGGTTTTTATCATGGAGCGCTTCGAGTGTGACCAACCTTATAATACAACATCACTGGGAAAAGTGATTCGCTAGTCGCCACTTGACAAATGGTGGTTAAGGGTTAACAATCTTCAGTTTAATTTACAGTCAGTAGTTGAATAACGATAATCGGAGCTTTTAACGGTTGGCAGTCAATAGTTAATGGTGGACAGTCGTGAGTGTGTCTGTGAATCAGTGTGTTTGTGTCTGTGAATCAGTGTGTGTGTTCGTAAAGTAGTGTTTGTGTTTGTGAATCAGTGTTCATGTTTGTGAATCAGTGTGTTTCTGTCTGTGAATTTGTGTGTTTGTGTCTGTGAATCAGTGTGTTTGTGTCCGTGAATTAGTGTTTGTGTCTGTGAATCAGTGTGAGTGTTTGTGTCTTTGAATCAGTGTGTTAGTGTCTTTGAATCAGTGTTTGTGTTAGTGCCTGTAAATCAGTTTGTGTGTGTCTGTGAATCAGTGTGTGTGTATTTGTGAATAAGAACAATGATTAATCAAGTCCTATTTGTTGTCTGCTGCCAGCAAACCTAACATTTATTTCATTTCTGGGGATAAGAGGGATTCTAGTTTGCAAACGTAATTTCAAATGACCCTTCATCTATAGAGTAGCATAATCTCTGTTTAACTATCAACGGCGGAGAAATCCGTGTTTTTTGCACACATTGTGTGAAAGTTTACAGGTAACTCGAGTGTACACTAGTGTACATTGTGAACTCACTCACGCAGCTAACTTATTTAGACAATCCACTCTACAAATGGAGAGTCACAAGAAATTACGTCTACAGTCCCTTTAAACATGAATAAAATTACGAATTACTTTGATTGATTTAAGAATAGTGTGGCCTACCATAAACATGACATTTAAAGGGACTGTAAGCCTAATTTCAAGTAACCCTCAATGTAAAGATGACAATGCCCGATTTACAACTGTACCTTTGAAACCATAATCTTATCAGAATTGTGGAAAAGTGTTCAGTTCTGATAATTTTTCAATTGGTTCTTACAAGCAAGAAATGCGCAAGTCGCTTTTGTAGAGCAACCATGCAATTGAAAATAATATGTTTTCTAAACTACAAACATTGATATCTAATTCATACTATTCTATCATATCTATTCATAAATCAGGCATTGTTAACTTTGCATAGAGGCTCACTTGAAATTACGCTCACAGTCCCTTTAAGTTTAATACACTACAGTATGTCCAACAGAAGTACTTGTAAACTATATTCTTGGTCTTCCTGTCATGTAACATAGGACTGTATATTTTGCTTTTAGATTTACATTTTACATTTTATTCTGATAAATTTGATAATCTAAACTTTATCTTTTGTTATCTAACAACTTGTCAGGTTACTTAGTAGGCCTATAGTTGTCTTGTAAGGTTATTAACAAAATTATTTGTTAAAAAATATCAAGAATAGGATGATTGATTGATTGAAGTACTCTTTATTTCAAAAGTAATGAAAACGCACTGTTTTCGATTTTAAAGTAGAAGTTATTGAGACTAAATTATGATAAATTCATGTATTAATGGATTAAATGATTGATTAATTAATTGATTGGTTGATTGATTGGTTGACTGGCTGACTGACTGACTGACTGACTGACTGACTGACTGACTGACCTAATGACTGATTGACTGACTTATGTCCGACTGACTAACTGGAGTGATTGATTGATTGATTGATTGACGGATTGATTTATGAATGGATTGATGGGTGAGTGGTTGATTGATTTACTGACTGACAGATGACTTATTTATTGACAGACTGACTGATTTTGATTGATTGATTGATGATTAATTGATTGATTGATTGATTAGTTGATTGATTTATTGATTTATTGATTGATTGATTATTGTAGAAGGAGGGTGTAGACCCCAGGGCTGTACTAGATCAGGTTAAAACTGCTTGTGTTAAATCAATAGAACAGTGGTGTACACTGTACATTGTCCTCAAAGTTATTTCTGGAAATTTCTTAGCTCAAAAATAGCGGACCCCCCCCCCCTCTCTCTACAACTCCCTACAACCCCCATCGGTTATCAAAATAAATACTTGTGCTTGGCCCAGAAGTTTAATACCCTAGCTTACATGGCCGCAGTGCTCGGCCCAGAAATTTACTACCCTAACTTTATCAATAATAGTAAAAAAAAATAATTGATTTAGGGTCATTAAATATTTTATAAAATATGTGAGAGGTTCCGTGATTTAGAGTATAATAAACTTGAAAGGAGGGGGGGGGGGAATTTCCCGAGCTATGAATTCTTCTGTGAATTGTACCAATGTAACAGTGCATGAACTTTACAGTGTACTGTACAGTGTACATCCCTAGCGTAGAGTCTAACCTGTACTTTAGTCTGTAGCAGTTAGACCCATTTTCTTTTATTCAAGACAGTTTGTTTGATTTCTGTAATAAGGAATTAGGACAAAACTAGCACAATATGGTACAAAGCAGTAAAACTGCATTGAATTGAATTTCATCATAAAATTGTATCATTTGCATCATGCACATAAACCACCTACTACAACATCTTTAAACCCCAAACCCTTGCATGCATATTTGATCAGCACCTTTTTAGTTCGATCCTTGATCACAGATCCTTGATAACAGATCCTTGATCANCAATATCTAGAATTATCTAGATTATCTACCAATATCTAGAATTATCTAGATTATCTACCAATATCTAGAATTATCTAGATTATCTACCAATATCTAGAATTATCTAGATTATCTACCAATATCTAGAATTATCTAGATTATCTACCAATATCTAGAATTATCTAGATTATCTACCAATATCTAGAATTATCTAGATTATCTACCAATATCTAGAATTATCTAGATTATCTACCAATATCTAGAATTATCTAGATTATCTACCAATATCTAGAATTATCTAGATTATCTACCAATATCTAGAATTATCTAGATTATCTACCAATATCTAGAATTATCTAGATTATCTACCAATATCTAGAATTATCTAGATTATCTACCAATATCTAGAATTATCTAGATTATCTACCAATATCTAGAATTATCTAGATTATCTACCAATATCTAGAATTATCTAGATTATCTACCAATATCTAGAATTATCTAGATTATCTACCAATATCTAGAATTATCTAGATTATCTACCAATATCTAGAATTATCTAGATTATCTACCAATATCTAGAATTATCTAGATTATCTACCAATATCTAGAATTATCTAGATTATCTACCAATATCTAGAATTATCTAGATTATCTACCAATATCTAGAATTATCTAGATTATCTACCAATATCTAGAATTATCTAGATTATCTACCAATATCTAGAATTATCTAGATTATCTACCAATATCTAGAATTATCTAGATTATCTACCAATATCTAGAATTATCTAGATTATCTACCAATATCTAGAATTATCTAGATTATCTACCAATATCTAGAATTATCTAGATTATCTACCAATATCTAGAATTATCTAGATTATCTACCAATATCTAGAATTATCTAGATTATCTACCAATATCTACAATTATCTAGACTATCTACCAATATCTACAATTATCTAGACTATCTACCAATATCTACAATTATCTTCTAAATGTTAAAAGTGAAAACATCAATAAAACACTAAATGAAGATGTATGTGAGGTTTCATTTGAATAAATCTATTCAAATTGAGTGCTCAGGTAACTCCAGCTGCTCTCTAAACGATTAACCACCCTACCCTTAAACATTGGAAATCTGAGAGAATAAAAAATCGCAGTTCGATTCACAATGGTACCCTTAGAAGCTTTTTCCGATTTAGAATGTATTAGATATCCATGTTTCTTTGTTTTAAACCTAGTTAGATTTAGATTAAGGGTGTTTGAAATATTAAAATATGCATAAAATATTGATATTTAAAGTTAATTGCTTGATGTCAATGGTTCAAAAGTTTTTTTACAATTGTAAATGAGAACGTAATTAAAAAATGGAAATTTAGCAAAATTGATTTATTTTTATTTTTATTTTTATTTATTTAATTAAATTACCTTATCCAAAAATAAATTATTAAAGTTTAAAAAAATTTAATTAAATTAAAATATAAAAGATTGTGGGGGGGAGGGGGGCGGTGCAACTTTCATAAAATGTTTATTTACAAATCTTTTGAAAGTTTGAGAAACTTCTAAACTTTATCATTTTAACTATATTATAGATGAGCTAAACTTTCTCTTTTGATGTCAACGAGAAATTTTATTTTTTTGGAAAAATGTTTTTGATTTCAATTTCCAATTAAAAATACTTTTTAAAACTGATATATATGTATTTATATTGAATCTTGTTGAGTGGTTTTAGAATTTGAAGAAACATGATTAAATTTCGGCATCAACGTTTTTTTCTTGTCAACATTATTAGAAACATGTAAAAATTAACAAAATGTTAAAAATATATCATACTGAACGATAGTATTCAAAAATATTTATTTTTTATAAATTATTCGTTATAACTACTGACCCTTTATAATTTATACATACAGGGTGAGTCAAAAAAATTGTCCTTTTTTGTGCAACTCTCCTGTATGTTATTTTTTACTATTTTTTGGAATTTCTTTTTTTTTTGGTACTCTCTCTCAACATCTAAAGTTCAAAAAAACAAAAATGTGTATATCTATATATGTATATATTTCTATCAAATTGTAAAATTTTGTAAATATTTAATCACAGAAAAATCGCAAAATTGTTATAAGAAAATTTGCAGTTTTCAGTTCCGGTTAATTTTTAAGGAAAAGTTGTTTTTCAGTGGCTCCACAGTTTTCAACTGAGCTGCGTATATTTATAACTTATAATATACTAAGATGAAAGGAACTAGAGGATTTAAAGAACTTTTCCTTAAAAATTAGACCAGAACTGATAACTACTGCGAATTTTCTAGTTACAATTTTGCAAATTTTCTGATATTCTGTGATTCAATCTTCACAAAATATTAGAATTTGATAGAAATATTATATACACATTTATGCTTTTCTAAACTTTTGATTTTTATAAGAGAAAAAAGTTTCGCGGATTTTTTTTATGACCATTGGAGTAAACTCGAAATTTTTGTTTTAAATATTGAAAAAATACTCCAGGTTGCACAAAAAAGGTACAATTTTGCATCAGACGCCGTTAATCACACTTTGTTTTGACTCACCCTGTGTATAGAGTCGATTCACAATGGTACACATATCTGAGTAAGTATGAGGAAAATATCGTCATTTTTCATTCTTTCCATCATTCATCCTTGATCAGACAAAAGTCTGATTGCCGAACTATGCATGGCCCTTTTTAAATGGAGGGTCACTTGAAATTACCTCTACAGTCCAGTTTGTTTTAAAAAAGTGGTTTATCTAAGTGGTCCATTTACAAGTTTTGAAAAATTGGAAAGTAACTAGTGAACCGCGTTTTAGAATTCTCAAGACTGAATTTAAAAATTAAATGATTTTTAAACCCAATATAGATTTTAGTTATTTTTTATGTGATTAAATTGAAACATTAGAAACCTTTCATTATTATTTTTTACTTTTTAAAAGGGACTGTAAGCGTAAAATTTAAGTGACCCTCCATGCAAAGATGGCAATGCAAGATTCACAATGGTACCCTTAAAACATTTATCTAATGAATAACGTAAAAAAATGTCGTTTTTGATTTGAGAATGTTGCTCCTGTAGTAGAAATGCACAAGTCACTTTTGTAGAGAATCAAATTAAAACAATCAGTTTTCAAAATTATAAACATTGATATCTATAATTCATACTATGACTAGAGAACGCTTTTAGGGGTACCGTTGTAAATCGGGCATTGCTATTTTGCAGGAGGGTCACTTAACATTACGCGTACAGTCCCTTTAATGCACCTCTTTGCACGAAGAATAGGTTTTTGTTTATAAATCAATTAATATTAAACTGCATTTATCAATGTATCAATTTATAAAAGCTTTAATGGATAATTTGATTGTTACTTGATTAACAGAGAATTATCAATCATATTTCGGGTTTATAAATTATGAAATATTTATTTATAACTACAGGATTTAAGGGGGGGGGGCGAACTTAATAATTGAATGGTAAACGCCACAACATATTTCATATTTCACTTTTTAAATCGCACAATTTTGTTATATTTTTTGCTGTTGTTATTTTTACGCTGCAAAATATATTTTGATATATATTTTATATATTTACTCCCCCCCCCCACCCCTCCCATCTCCCATTTCTAACTACTTTTTCCAGCATCTCGATAATTAACCGCATTATTGAGATTTTAGGAGAATTGCGGATTTCTCAACATTTAAAGATAGTAGAAGGTGGAATAGTTGATTTTTTGTTCGTAATTTGTCTTAATTTAAACAAAAAAACTCTAAAATTTTATTGACAATTTTTGTTGGAACTTAGTAGAAGACATTTTAAACCTAAACCTTTCCCTGGGGCCTTGTTATGTTCTGAACAAAGAAATGCATTTTTGCAAAAAACTTATAATTTTTTAATTCTTGGTTTCTATTATCATATTAATTATAATAAAGTTTGTTCTTCTCCAAAAAGTAGGTTACCAAAAATCGTATAAATTCAAAAGAAAGAAAAATTTGATGCATTATGTTATAATTTGAATTTTTTAAATTTTGAAATTTTAATTCTAATTCAGGCGGAAAATGAGCTGAGACTTTGCCAAGCTGAGTTTGATCGTCAGGTAGCTCATTCATTCATTCATTCATTCATTCACCCATTCATTCATTCATTTTTTCTCCCTTTAATTTTTTTACTCATTCATTCATATCTGTTATTCACTTATGTATACTATCCTTCATTTACTTATTCATTCTTTCATCTTATTAATCCTTCATTCATTCTCACTTTTTCTTTATTATTTTCCTTCATTAATTCATTCATCCGCTCATCATTTCATTCATTAATTTTTTCATTCATAAATACATCCATTTAATTATTCATTCTTTATAATTCATCATTTCTTCCTTCCTTCTAACCTTCATCACTCCTTTCATTCATTCACACCAGGGAGTAAGGAATAGAAGGGAAATACAACTGACGCGGCCCGCCCTACCATATGATTATACATGCATTGCAGACGGTACTCCATTTGTATAAGAAATATTCAGAATAGGTTATTGTATACGCGGTAATTGTACATCAGACAAATATTTCTTATTCAAATGAAGTACCGTCTGCAAAGCATGTATTGTATAATCATATTGTAGGGCGAACCACGTCAGTTCTATCTCCCTTCTATTTCATACTCCCTGATTCATACATTGACTGAATTGACTTATTCCTATCTCTCAAATACTTGCATTCATTCATTTTTGTTGTCCATCTGGGGCTTGTGGGACTGTGATTGTTTAGTCCCACATTTGCTTTGGTGAGCCATCCTCTTGTCCCTTTTCATACATGTGTCTAATCCATTGACTGATCTGTAGGCCGAGATCACGAGGCTCCTGATGGAGGGATTGTCCCAGACCCAGACAAACCATCTCAGACATCTTAAGGAGTTCGTTCAGGCACAGGTAGAGGGATATAAAGCAAATACTAGCAGGGACATAAAGCAAATACTAGCAGGGATATAAAGCAAATACTAGCAGGGACATAAAGTTAATACAGACCGGGATATGAAGTTAGTACAGGCAGGGATATAAAATAAATATAGACAGGGATATATATAAAGGAAATATAAACAGGGATATAAAGTTTAATATAGACAAGGGTATAAAGTAAATAAAGGCGCGCAGGGATAAAAATAAATGTAGGTAGGGACATAAATTAAATATAGGCAGGGATATAACGTGAATATAGACAGAGATATGATGTTATTACATGCAGGGATATAAAGGAGGGATATTAAGTAAATATAGGGAGGGAAATAAAGTAAATATAGGCAGGAATATAAAGTAAAAATAGACAGAAGTATAAAGTAAATATTATTTCTCTCAAAAGTGCATTAGGACAAATTTATTATTTATAACATAATTTAAATCTAGTTTTTAAAGAAACCTATTTCATCCAGTTAATGTTAATATTTATATAGGTTGCATTCGCAATATTGATTTTTTATAATAACATGCAGCAAACATGGTGGAAACATCATATTCTGTAAAAATGCAGTACGTTGTACATATTAATGATTTAATGTTGTTAACTTAGACATATTGAAATTATAATTGAAACATAATTAGCTTAAATCATGTGACATACTTAAATTACGCTATAAAACATGTGCGGAGATAGCTTAACTGCGTTATATCTATTCTCTCTAATCTTATGAATACGAACAACTGTGCGATAAATAAGTAATACGATGTTCTTAATCATGTAATGTAGATAACATCGTAGGCAATGTAACTACATCAATTCCTGTTAACTTTGTGACATAAGATATTAAATAAAGTTAGTTCTATAAAGTAACTCCATACTGTTTACTGCGTGAGAGTAGACCTGAACCCCTGAATTGTATTCAGGTCTATTGTCCCCTTTAGTTTGGATGGATATATATCTTGTTGATTGCTAGACTTGTGTCCTTGTGTGGCATTTAGAGCGGATCGTCCCTATCATTTGGGATCAACATACAGCTATTTTGATAGCTAGGCTTGTGTCCTGGTGTGGCATTTAGAGCGGATCGTCCGTTTCATTTGGGATCGACTTATAGCTTGTTGATAGATAGGCTTGTGTCCCTGTGAGACAATTAAAGCGGATCGTCCCAATCATTCAGAGCACTGTGTTAGTAACTGGATTTTGATAGCTCTATTTGTGTCCTTGTGTGGCATTGAGAGCCTAGAAATTCAGTACTGGTTGAGTTTGATAGCTGAATGACTACTGATCAGGATAGATTCGTTCGAGAACTTGTTATGTTGTAGGTGTTAACTACAAATATAACAATGATTATTTTCTACTTTTTTTTAAGGTTAACTATTACTCTGAGGCTCACACTACTATGCAAGAATTACACAGGGAACTCTCAGGGTAATATTTTTAAAATAATTTTTTTAACAATCTAGTTTTTAGAAAATGTGCATAGGAAAAATTCCCCGATTTTTGGTTGTTGGAAACAAATTTACGAAGTCCTAACCAATTCAAGTTTTTGGTATCTTTCATTTTTTTATGATATTATGCAAACCCTGACAGGAGACATAAGCCTGAACGAAGCAAAATCAATCGTTCACTAACGAACAATTTGGAAAATCGTTAAATATTAAATATTTTGTAATATTATTCGTTTCCAAGTTTAACAATTTTGCATCGAAAATATTATTATTATTAATTCTCTAAAAATGTCTCCCAATCTTAAAATTGAAAATAATTTCAGTTATACAATATACTTTGTTAAATATTAGTCGTGTTTTATAAAATGTTACAGTAAATTATAAGATGGATTATGATTTACGATTGTAGCGATTGTTATTATAATTTGTAAACAATCTCGGTTTTTGGTTGGTTTGTAAATATTAAAGAATAATGGTGTCAGTCATAGAAAGCACTGTTTGCTGTTGAATAAAACGTTGTCTCTGTTGTTCACAATTTGAAATTTAAAAGTTTCCCGCCAAATTTACTAGTAACATTAACCACGTGTGTACTGTATACTCTAACCTATTGCAAGCAGCACTATGGACGGGATTAAACCCGCAGAACCGGTTTTAATAACTTCAGAGTCTAATGGCACTGAAAATCATAATGGGGACCAGGTAAAAAGCCCGGGTAATTCAAACAATTTTTTTAAAAGTTGTTTTTAAATTGTGGATAATTAAAATAAAAATGGTTTTGTTTGTCATAAAAAGAAATAAGATTTTAACATTAAAAATAGTAAAATAGTAAAAATAAAGAATAAATCAACGTAAGTCTTAAATGACGACCTTCAATGTAGCAGTAAATTTTTACACAAAAACTATGTTAAACTTCCAATTTGAATCTTTTTTTGTAAATTTTAGTTTTTTTATATAACAATTGTCATACTTTAGGATATGAGCAACATAAACCTAGCCTCGCCACCAGCCATTTCCTTCCCTAAAAACGCGCACGTTTTTTAATTTTTCAAATTCATTTTCACTGCTTTCATTTTATTCCGTAGATTTATAAAGAGTTGTACTGTAACACACGTTATGTACTGTACTGTACTGTACTGTACTGTACTGTACTGTACTGTACTGTACTATTTATATAATTGTACACCAAGGAATCCATATATGAGTATTTTGAATAATAACCACAGAAAATAGAATATGCTTTGTCATCAAGTTAGAAAAAGCGTTCTTGCAAAAAACTTTGTCAGATTTCTCAGTTTGTTTTTGCAAGGTTGCAAAATGCAGGCTTTATTCTTCAGTTGTCAGATTCTTTCAAATGCAGGAAAAGCTTTTAAAATTTTAAATCTCAACTTATTAAATTTTTTAAATTCTTGTCAATATAATGGTTAACAGTTTTAAATAATTTTTTTTCTTAACAAATGTTTTTTTTTATATACTCATGGGTTATTTCTCCCCCCCCCCTTTTTCAATCTTTCATTCTTTTATTAGCATATTTATTCTGTTTTTGTTCTAAATTGATAACAAAGTATTAAAACCTATCAAATGTTTTTAAAAATATAAAAATTTAAAGTTCCCAATTTCTTTTGAAAAAACTATGAAATAAGATTCTAGTTTGTTAAAATCTAATTGCAATGGATAAAATACTGCAATTCCTGGTTCATTTGTTAAATCTATTAATCTGTATATATATTATATATAGAAGTATGCATACACTAATAGATCATGATAAGGCTTTGTTAAGAATTTCTAACGTTTAGCAACGATTTTCAAAATATCAGACAAATTGTTAGAATTTCTTAACATTATTCTGAGTAAAGTAGTTTTTTCAAGTATACTTAACTCAGCTAACGATCTGTTATGAACTCTGAACAAATTGTTCTAACACGTTATGAGATATTTCTAACATATTCTTAGAATGATATCTAGAAGTGGAGAATGTTGCTCAAGTGTAGTCTGGGTATTTGTTGTATTATGATAGCCTATAGTAATATCCAGTTGTTTTCACAAAACATAGAATTTCACGCTTAACTTTTAACGGGGACTGTAAGCGTAATTTTAAGTGACCTTGCAATTTTAGAGTGGCATGACCGATTCACAATGGTACCCTTTAACCTTCATCTGACCATATCCTTGTTTTTTCAACTGAAAATTTACAATTTTCAAGTTTGGATTGCGGATTTCTTCAGTTTAGGAAAGGGAAGGAATTGACATTAGTCATTATTCAACCCTTTTTTATTAAAAAAAAACGGCAACATCGTCCAATCCGAATTCTGTTGCGCGGATTCATGGGCTCGCAATTGCGCCCAAATAAACCCCAGTTGTATTGTATTGAGTTGGAAACCCTCGTTGTATTGTTGTCAGTAAATTTTATGTTTTGTGAATCTTTCTGTATTTAATGTTAAAGGTTGTTAGTTCTACAATTATAGAAACCTGTTCTTAAGGTTGGTTGTAAACATGATAAACCTGTTTAAGGTTGTTTGTAAACAATATAAATTATATATCTATTAGATTGTTAAACAGATTCCTTCCTGCACATAATGGTTTTTTTAAAGTTTTTTTTTTGTTTTTTTTTTAGTTTAACTCCCCCCTCCACCTCCCCCCTCCCACAAGATCTTAAACTTCAAAGAGGTCAAGTCCTGCTAGGTAAACAGGGGATTTTTTTCAACAAATATTTTTTAATTTTTCAAACCATAGATTTATTAAAATAACAGATAAGACGCTAGGTGTCGTCTTTTTAAGATTTAGGGATTTTTCTTTCACAATAACCCTGAGACAGAATCCCAAAGAAGTTACGCACAGTCGGCGTACAATTACAACACAGACTGTTACGTCGACAGCACATAACTCCTTTGGGCTTCTGCCTCAGGGTTATTGTGAACGAAAAACCCTTAAATCATGCAAAGACGACATCTAGTGTTCTATATGTTATTTTAATAAATCTATGATTCAAAACTTTCTTTTATCAATTATTTACTTTTTATATAATTTAATGAATTTCTTTTTAAGATTAAGACGCCAATTTTAAACTTTGTTAAAGCTTAATTTTTTAAATATTTTATTAAACCCTTTGAAAAATAATTTCACAATATTTGAAAGATTTTGTATTAATTTTTTACTGTTACAACTATTTTGGTTTTTAGAATTTTATTTTTCGGTTTGCAAAAATTTTTACATTATTACATTATCAATTTTATAATCGATGTTTCACAAAAATAATTTTTTTTAGATTATGACGCTAACGGACCTGATGAATTAAGCCTACTGGCGCATGAGGTATTTTAAATTTTTAAATATAAGAAATTAATATCTTTTATTAACATTATTGACGAATTTGGATATTCTAAAGTTAAAAAAAAAATATCTTAATTTTATGTATAGTTTTTTGTTTGTTTTAAGCATGTAGATTTATTAACAACAGAGATAGAACACTAGATGTCATATTTTCAAGATTTAAGGGGTTTTCCTTCACAATAACCATGAGGCAGAATTGCCCAAAGGAGTTACGCGTATGTTCTCTCTCTGTCTTGTAGTTATTCGCGGCAAGTGTGTAACTCCTTTGGGCTTCTGCCTTGCAGGATTATTGTGTCTAGTGTTCTATCTGTATTGTTAATTATAATCTTAGGTTTTAACTTATTAAGGTAATAATAAAAACTACAAAATCATGGAAAAAATGTCGTGTTTGCTGTTTTTTTTAACTTCTGATTAATAATTATGTATCTGATTAATAATCATGTAATTTCAAATTTCAAAAAAACATTGAGACCACCTTTCTAGAAATAGTTCAGTTGTAAATTACAAATATTCTGTACTTTTAAAGGGACTGTAAGCGTATTTTAAAGTGACCTTCCATTTATACAGATGCAGGTCCGATTCACAACGGTACCCTTTTAACCCTTGGTCCGAACAACGATGAGGTAGATATCTTCATTTGTATAGCTGAAAATTGAGACTCGAGGTTACAGTGTACACTGCACTCTCCGTGCTAGTGTACACTTGCGCGTTTTCATGGCACTTGATTTCCCACTATTTAAATCTTTAATCAAGCAAAGGTTTAAAGGGTATCGTTGTAAGTCGTACATGCCACTCTAAAAATGTATGGTCACTTGAAATTACGCTTACAGTCCCTATAATGTATCATTTCTTTAGGTTCTAAATGTGTACGAGCTGGATCCTGAAAGTGAAGATTTCCTGGTGGCAGAAAGAGGAACTAAAGTTGGTAAAATCCCAAGGTAAAACATTTTATCAAATGTTCAGCTAAATAAATTTAAAGGGACTGTAAGCGTAATTTAAAGGAACTGTTTTAAGGACCCTCCATGGAAAGATGACAATGCTCTATTCAAATTCACCTATGAAGCCAAAAAACCTCATATGTTTACAAACGGGCCTTGTTTTGAAGATTAAAATCAATTTTAAATTGTGGCTTTCATTTGAATTGCCATAATGCCATTCATTCAAGTTTGACAGAAATTAAACAATTCAATTTTAATTTCAAAGAAAATCTTATTATATATCTAATTATTTTGTGTTTCAGGGCCTATGTTAAAATAATCAGCTGATTAATCGGGATCAGCTGTTTCCTTCTCCCTCCTGGTCACCATTTTATTTATCTGTGATATTTTAGTTTAAAGATTTTGTATTTTAAGTTTAAAATTGCCTTTTTTTGTTTAGAAATTCGTTAATTTTTATTCCAGTATAAAGGCCCATTATAAAGTATAGATATTACCTTTAATCTAAGCTTAACTTAATAACCTAGAGCCTTAGGGAAACCCTTCATTTATTTTAAATCAACCAACATCAAATAAATATATTTTAATTTTGGAAAAATGTTCCAAAACAATTAGTTAACTGTTAACCAAAGTACAATTTTTCTGATTATAAACTGTTTCTTTGTGTGCATTATTATTCTATATGTTCTTTTATTTTATCATATAATAGTAATAAAGTATTTCCTCTTCTAATCTATATGTTTAGAAAAATTATTAATCCATACAACCATTCATAACCTTTTCGTTTTTCTTGATTAGAAATGGCGCCAAAAGGATTTTAAAAATTTCAAATGTTGCGCGGACTTAACAAATACAAATTACAGAATTTGTGTACAGTGAAAATCAGAAAACTGTGGAATAAAGACCTCAAGTTTTTTTTATGTTTCCACAACTCACAAAGCAAGAAGTTAAATACATAACTTAAAAATTGACTGAAATGAGATTGCTTACTCTTATGACAAATGCTGCTGTCTCCCGTTCATTGGACTACATAAAGCCATAAATTGAGTTGAAAAGAAGTCTTCCTATACCAGAGTTTTTAGGTCTCACTGGTCAAAAAAAAGAAATGTTGCATCTAAATGTATTTAACAATTTAAACAATTATAGATGTATGGATTATTACACCTGCACCAAAACTTGATTGACCTTAATGAGAAATAGACTTCCCTAATTTTAAAAAACTTATGAATTTTTATCTTTATCTTTGGAATCCGGCTTTACCTGGAAAATAAACATTCGCAATAAAGGTCAACCCACCAAAAGAATTTGTAAACCAAACTATGGACTAATTCTCTTGGTTTTAACGACTGTGCAAATCAAAATTTCAAGGAAATTGGTCAAGGCACAAAAGGAACATTACACTGGTCTAATACTGAGCCTCTAATGGGCGTAAAATCCCGTTTTGTCTTATAAAGTCTGTATGTAGTGTGTACTGTACAGCTTGCTTTAGCTGGTTCAAACTCGGCTCGGTACTTGAAATGAACCGGAGATTCCAGTGAAGGGGTTTATCTTGTTTCTGACGACTTCCCAAATCAAAACTTCAAGCAAATTGCTCAAAGGGTTTCTGAGTTATGATTGGTCAAACAAACCAAAATAAGGAGATTACTACTTTATCTACTATGTCGACTGTGATCCTAAGGCTACAATTGCTCCCAAGAATAAAATTGATGAGAAATTTGCCAATTTCTTCCTGAAAACTAAAGCTTAAGAATATGTGGCTTAGGGTTCTAAAATGTTCATGTCTAGGGCTATACAAATTTATGGTAAGTTAGTTCGGTAAAATCAAAGACCAATGCATAATTTTAGGTTAATTTAAAACAATTATATCTCATAATATAGNTTAACCTTTATATAGATTATTCAACAATTTTAAATTAGAATTTTTCCCAATAATAGAAACTCATTAAATTACTCAAGCAAAAAACTCTTTACGCTTAGTTCTTTGAGACTTTTAAAGAATGGTATGGGAAACCAAAAGAATATTTTAGAATATTACTATTTCTAGTTCTGTCTGCACTCAGCAATAAAACAACTTCAGTTTAGCTGCATCTGAAAAGTATTTTATCTAACATTCTCCGCCCTGTACTGAACACTGCAAGGCTGAGTATTTTTCTCAAATTAAAAAGAAACTAAGTGAAATGGCAATATTTTTTCAAATTTAATCCAAATCTGAATTAAAATTACTAGAGATGGAATTTAAAGAATTTGAGCCGCGGTTTAAATCTGCCAAAACCCGGTTTAAATTAAGCGCCGGCTTAAATCTTGAAACATTTGATACAATTTTAAGTGGAACCAACCATATTTAAGTCGCGGCTTAGATTTAAACCGCCGCTCAAATTCTTTAAATTCGGCCATCGGTTGTAGATCTTTGAGCCACTTTTCTTAAAACATTGTTGAAATTTACTTCCTTATTTACTTACATGCAAAAAGAAAAATTCTTGATGGTTCTAAAAATTGCAAATATGAAATCTATGAAAATAAGTCATGTGAGGTATCAAATCATAGGTTTTTGGTGAATTCCGATTCCATTCTGACACCATACCATTGATTATCTTCATTGATTTAACATTTGACCATTTTAGAGATCATTATCGAAAGGAGGTCAAAATGGAGTTCGGATATATGTGTCTATATAGATCATCGCATGACCTATATGGTAGAAAAAAATAAAAACATGTCTGATTAACTTATGACAATTTAATTCGAGTGAAAAAAGTGATATTTTTCCGTATTTTCAGAGTTCATGGAGGTCAATGAACTCCGATCTCAAATTTGTGATCTTTGTAGATGACCACAATTAGAGGGTACATGCAAAATTTCGGAAATTTCTGATGCTTCATAGGATTATCCTTTGGAAAGAAGTCTTAACCCTATTCCTGCTAGGGGTGGGGTCAAATTGATCCCCTGTAGGTTTTTTACATAACTCAAAAGTGTTAGCCTGAGGCTGTTGACATATTCTCACTTTTCCTAAATACCCGTAGCCCTCCCTTTAAGTCTAAAACCGGGCTTTTGTACTAACTGTCTAAGTCTGCATGGAATGACTACTTTTTTCTATAGCAAACTAAATCTTTGTTTTGACCCACTTTCAGTTGTCAGATTTTAATAATTTTTAGCTTTTTGGAAAGCCTTTACCATAAGGAAGCAGATTTCAGTTTTTGAAAAGAAATTTTGCAAATTATTTGCATACATCCGGTCAAAAGAAATTTGCACATTTTAGTTTTCCTAATTACACATCAGGTTAATTATTTTGCACAAAGTTTTGCATATTTGAAATGGCATGGTCAAGGGCTTTCCAAAAATGTATAATTTAGAATTTTTTCGACATTTGTTTGCAAACATTGTTACTTTATGACAGGATTTAGCAAAAAAAAACTCTAGCAAATTTACAATTTTTTTGCAGATTCTAAAAGTAGAGCATTAGAGCTTTCTGATGATGCATCATTTGTCATATTTTGATAATACTATAACTAAAAGTATATAGCCAGTAGGACTCAGTCCCGAAGATGGATAGGATTGGCTCGAACCGTGCATCCTGATCAACACTGCTATGGTCGGCAGCTCCCAGCTTATCATGGCCCACAACTGGTTTTGTGCTGGGTGATGAACCATCCTTCTCTCACCCATCAACTCATCTCCGATTGTTATCTTCATCCTAGAATGATCAATTAATCAATCAATTAATCAATCAATTAATCAACCAATCAATCAATCAATCCATCATTTAATCAATTAATCAATTAATCTATCTATCAATCATGCATCCAATTAAAATAAAATATCCAAATATAGAACAAAGCCTGCAAACCAAATGGAGGACTATTCGACCAACCAGGTACAATGAAAAATGCCAGCAAACAACAAAACAACTAACTTACAACAAAATCAACCAATTAACAAAAATCAAATAAAACAAAATCAACCAATTAACAAAAATCAAATAAAACAAAATCAACCAATTAACAAAAATCAACAATAAGCAATCAGGGTTTCTTTTGCATTTTTTGGGCATATGGAAGACAACTTATATAAAATTCTATTTACAAACTTAAAGCCATAACAAACCTTTTAATATTGTGCATATCCACTCTGCCGATTATATTGTCTCGAGGTCGTTTTCTTTTCCTCTCTTTTCTCCTTTTCTCCTCAATCTCCTCCTTCTTTTTCCTCCTATTTTCCTCATCTTCATAATTTTCCTCAATATCTCCTTTCTCCTTTTCTTCTTTCACTTCCATCTTCCTCTCACAAGATGGACTCTTAAAGCTGATCCTACATGTATACAAATCTGAGTAATAACCATAGATAAATAAATAAACATAGATAGCTTATGTACGCAAAATCACCAAGAATTGTACAGTCCGCGAACTCATACTTCTAGGGGTCAAAGTGTACTTCAATGATAAGCGGGGGTGGTTTGGTGTTTTAATGGATTTCACAATTATTAAACCACTCAGGAGTGAATTTTGTTTTGAGAATATCAAATTATCAAATTATCATATTGACGAAAACTGAAGAAGGACATGAGAAGGACTGAACTAACTTAAATTTCTCTCTACAGAACTCATGTACACCACAAGTACTCAATGACATAAGAACAGCCAATGTTCACAACCGACCTAGTTAATCTATATAATAGAAATATCTTTAGAACATCTCTGTACATTTATATCTTTCAAGATAAAAAATGTCGTCTTATGCGCAATCATTCTTTATCTATGGTATTAACGTACAATAAATACAAGAGGGAGGGAGGAGGGAGGGAGGGGGGGGGTTTGACCCCAAACTCTATCCAATTTTCTTATTACAGCTACTCTTTATTATTATTAATATTATTATTATTTAGAAGATATGTGCTACAGGCGGCATCGTATAGAAGACACGTAGCAAAATGCTTCGCCCCAGTCCTCTGGAATTTTGGAAGAAGACTTTATATTTTTAAAAAAAATAATCTTTTTCTGGCCAAATGTTTTTATTCTTTACCCAGCCCTAAACCTACCCTATTGGCCATGTGAATTGCCAAAAAAAATTGAGCCTCTGTTCAGCCGTTTTGAAGTTTATTGGATACAACCAAAGAAACAGACAGACAAGCAAAGAATATATTTTATATAATAAAGCTCCTCGCTCATATATATATATATATGTATGTATTTTATATATGTTAGCTAGCTGGCCAAACGGCTGGACAATATTGGGTGGCATTTTGTTAGGGAACCCATGGGCACCGTACACACTGTAGAAAATGAACCATCAGGTTTCAAGTCAAAACACCTCAATTTTTTTCTTAGGAATATATTTATATGCAGTCTACTGAGTTTATTAAATCTCACGTTTCAGAAAATGCCACCTAGGGATTCTTAAGCAAATTCATTTTTAAGAAATTGTAGAAATCAAGTGCATTTACTGGTCTAAGATCAAGTGTAAATTCCGTTTCTAAACTTTGATTTGCTTCTTGTATTTTTTCAAAGTTATCTTGTTAACCATAAGTGACATAGTCCTCAAATGTTGTCTCTTTTCTTAAATAGCCAATTGCCATATTGTAGCAAAAAATCAAAGCCATTAGACAACTGCCAGGCTGTCTAGATACGGCGTTGTTTGTTGATGTGATTTTTACTGTTTTCGCTTCAAAAGGACTCATTCAGGCAGTGTTTCGGCAGTCAAACATAGGGCTCTGACTTTTTGCTTCAACATGTCTTAAGACTGTCAAGGAAAATTCACAAAATTTGAGGACCATCTGAGATTCAAAAATAAGCTTTGAAAACCACAAGAAAAGGCTAATTTAAGCCTTGAAACTACAATTACGTTTGATTTTAAACCTGAAAATGCACTTGATTTCTACAATTTCCTAAAAATGAATTTACTCCAAATTCCCTGGGTGGCATTTTCTGAAACTTGAGATTATAACTCAGTAGACTGCATATAAATATATCCGAAAAAAAGTTTAGAATTTTGACTTGAAACCCGATGATTCAGCAGGGGTAACATAGGCTAAAAAAATTCAAAATGTTTTCTTGAAACTATAGATATTTACATAAATAAATAAATAAGTAATATATATAAATTGTTTACCTTAGTTTAATTCCTGTTTGACTAGACTCAATAGAGCTGGTAGATCCCGATGGAGATATTGATAGACACATTGAAGGACTGGATTGGGTCGGGTTCTCGGAGATTAATCCGTTCTCTGGATATCCAGGAGAAGGTCTAGGTTTGACTCCAGTAACCTTGATAGGCTCATGTACGTTGAAGTTCGGATGGTTCTCTTGAATATGCTTTTTCATTCTCGCCCCGTTCAGCAGAAATCTTAAATAATGTAATTTAAAGGGACTGTAAACGTTATTTAAAGTGACCCTACAAAGATTGCAATGCCCGATCCACAATGGTACCCTTAAAACCTAGATCTGATATATAATCTAGAAGGTATGGTTGTTTTTCTCAGGTTGAAAAATTTTAAAATCTGATAATTCCAATATGATTTCCGGCAGTATGGTAATGCGCACATGGAGGATTAGTAAAAAAAGCTTTTAGTCCCGTTAAAGGGATTGTATAAATAGTTTTATTAACATTAACTTGGTCTAGGCTCTAGATAAAAACAAGGCGTTCCATGAAATAACAGAAAGAAAACCAAAACTTTAGGGTACAGTTATGTAACTTTTTTGGCACTCGTCATTAAAGGGTCGTTTGACAATATTATGAAAATATATTTTTTGTTTTATTAATGAAGGGTTAATAAAAAACTAAAATTTCCAAAACTAACCTAAAGCAAACAGGACAAGTTGGGTTGGTTGGAAAAGCCTCTGAAGTGTCCTTTGTCTCTGCTCTTTCCTTTATCTCCAATTGATTCTCTTTCTTATTCCTTTTCTCAGCCTTTTTAAGTAGATGGGCATGTACGTTGGGATCTTCTTCTTCTTCATCTAGGGCATCATTTGAATCCCTCCCATCATTGCTGCTGATATCATCTGATATACTGTCATGTTTATGGATTTCAACTTTGTCATTCTTTTTTTCATCTTTTTTATTACTGGCAGTTTCTTCATCTGATGGGCTAGTAATCGGTTCATGCGTTCTAACATTGAGTTTGTTCCCTTTGACCAGTGATGTCTCCTTGATAGAACTATAATCTGATTGTGGTGCTGGCAGGAGGCTTGAAAAAGAACTAGAACTTTTCCTGCTTTCGGGATTTAGTTTTGAGTTTGATGCTGATGTTTGAGGTTCAGATCTCCGTGGAGATTTATTCCGTCTCCCTGCTCCTGACCCTGATTCACCAAGTGAAACAGAAGGCTGACCGGTGTCAGATCCTACCTTGTAATAGCTAGAACCACCTGCCTCAACCTGTTCCAGTTTACCAGACACTGCTGCAGAGCTGAGGCACAATGAGACAATTGGTTTCTGTAAACGAATTCCACTCTTTGTCAAGAGCTGATGAACATCTTTTACACTGGCCCCTGTTGACACAGCTAGCTGTTTAACCGCGTTTATGCACATTTCTTCATAATCTATATCCTTTTCTTTACCATTGGTGATAATCTTTAATGTTTTTGTTTTGTCAGATTTACTTTCAAAATTTAATTCTTTAGAATTTTCAGTAGTATCTTTTTCAAGAACTGTATCCACTGAATCCTCCTTTTGTGATTCTAATCTTGCTGTTTGCTCATTAGAGGCTTTTTCAATGGTCTTTCCTTTGGACACAATAGATTCAGGAACAGAAGGTGATGTGGAAGTTTTCATAGATTTCAAATGATTTGATGATAAATTGCCCTCATGGGTTATTTTTTCTACCTTCAATTCAGCTTTCTCAGAGGCGTTTTCAATGTTACCCATCCTAGCGTTCTTATGATCGATAAAGTTTTCAGTTTCATTTTTACCTTTTTCAGCATATTTAGCAGCCTTTTCAGCTTCCACACCAGCTCTATGGCCCTCTTTGCCATGGTTCACAATAATTAGACCAGCTTTATCACATGTTTTCACAGCAATATCCGCATATTTGTGAGCTTTAAACCTATCTTGTCTTGTCTTGTCTATATCGTCTTTATCTGCATTGTCAGGTTTGACAATAGTACCAGTGTAGATAAGTTTAAGATTGTCCATTCCTAAATGTTGAGAACGTTTTCTTCTAGTAGCATGATATGGCCTTTTAGGTTTTTGGATTTCCTTTACATGTTGGCTAGCAATGTAAGCAGTATCTAGCAAATGTTGTGCTGTCACCAAAACCTTTTCTGGAATATGCCCAGATGTTAGAAGAGGGTTTCCAGATCCCTTTAAACATGTTTCTGTTACCTTGGTGGATCCATATTGGCTGTCTAGAGAGAAATGTTCAGATGTATTCTGGCTACTAAAAGAAACCTTCTCTGTAACATGATTGCATGATGTTACATTCTTAGACTGCTTGGGTACCGACTCTAGGTTCTCTTTCCCTTGATCTGAACTAGTAGGTTTAATTGAGTTGGGAACAATGTTTGATACAGACTCTTCCTCTGTCAATGGATGTTGAGAAGATGAGGGAATATCTAATTCATTATCCTGGTTTTTACTATTGCATCTGATTTGTTTTGTTACAAGGGGTAAATCTTCACCTGGTAGTTTAGCTTTAGAAATGATAGTTTTAAGACCTTTGATTTGGTATTCATCAAGGGACACTGCAGAACCAGATGAATTCTCCTTCATACAACTCTTAGCAGGGATAACTTTTGCCACAACTATCTCTTTATGAGTTTTTCTGTGAGCAATATCTACAGCTCCTGGAACAATGACATGTTTGATTCCAGTTCCAAGAGATTTTGTATTAACTTTTGTAAGATTTGGATCAGGTTTAGCTTCAGATTCTGGTCTAGTTTCCATTCCCTCATCTGCTGAAGAGAAGTCCAGAGTACTGTATGCATCATTACTCTCTACCAGGGAGTTCTTAGTTGTTATATGCTTCCCATAAAACTTTGTATTCACCAATCCGAACTTTTTCCTTTGGCAAACCTTTCTCTCTGAGCTGACTGGTGGTGGAGGGGCTGACTGGGGTCGATGAAAGGTAGCTCGAGAGGGTGGTCTTGATGGAGGCTTGATTGGGTCAGCAGGTTTGGAAGGTTTAAAGCTTGGCTCCCTCCTGTAGATTGGAACTTTGTTCTAAAATGGTAAAATATTAGAAATTGAATTTTTGTTAAAAAAAATTAAACAGAATTGATTTAAAAAGTCACTTCACCTGCTTTAGTTTTGTTTTCTCATTAACAAGAATTGGACTGGCTCTGGAAACAGAATCTTCTGAGCCTTGAATTTTTAAAATAGATTCTTTATCTCTTTTCTCTGGCTCAGAACTCTCTTGCTTATGGAGTTTTATGTTTTTATTTTCAACAATTTTCTTCAAGGAAAGGCCTTTGTTCTTCAGGATAGTCTGATATTCAATTGAGAGGGCTTTAACAACAGAAGTATCAATGTTTGAACTATTTACATCCTTGTCTTCTGTTGCATGTGGGTCAGGTCCTATAACGTCTTGACAATTAGACTTGAGTTCAGGGACAGGAACTTCCTCGGAACCAATTAAATTAAAGCCAGTTTCAACATTACTGCTGTTTTGAACACTGACTTTAGAGCTGCTGTCAGAAGTTGGTACTGTTAATTTAGGCGCAGAAGAGACATTTATCACAGAATTACAGAGCTGTGGTGTGCTTAATGACTGTTGGGTACTGGGTTCATGCAAGGTTGGGCCATGGGTTTTTGAGATGGCTGTAGAAGTTGCGATTGAAGGAGATGACATGGAACTCAATGTGCTGTTTTTTAGTTGACTAGAGGGAATTTTGGATTGTACAACAGGATTTTGTTTTGTACAAGAAGGCAAATTAACACTCAAAACTGTTTGTGCTGTTCCTTTCTGTTCCCTGGCAGATGCTGTTAATTCAGAACTTGAATGAGTAGGTTTGGTCGAGGGATTACTTGGTATTATTGAAGGGCTGGTTGCATCAGTATCTTTCATGCAATAAGTTTTAGTTAGAGGTTTCATGGTTTGAGATGGATCTAGGGTAATGTTTATATTGGAAGTGCTGGTCATTTCTGGAGAATCTGTGGAACTGGAACACATGGTAGTTTGGTTGGAGGAAGAAGTGCAATCAAGTGTTCTTAACTGAGGTTGAGTGATGACAGTATTTACAGATGGCTCTTCATATTTAGAAAAATCAGTTTTTGCTGTTGAGATTACAGGATTTATTGGAAGACTTATAGAATTGGAAGGTATGCTATGAATAAGATTGGGCTCCTCAGAGAGAAGAGTTAAAGTACTTGGTATCAGGGGAGGAGTGTTGGAGTTCAAAGTTGGTTCAATATCTGTAAGCTCTACATCAGCTGAAATAACATCAAAATCTGAAAAATCTTCAAGTTTTGATTCAGCCCTGGGCAGTGCATCTTTAAAGGACCCCTGATCAGCACTTGCTGCAACATCTTTCCTTTCTGGACTATATGGATCATCATTTAAAAAACTATCCAGATTGTTTTTCCACTCTTCAATATCCGGTTCTGAGTCTGAATTGTCAAAATCTGCGATGCATGGCAGAGTTTCTTCTTCAACAATCTTTACAACATCTTGTGCAGAAGCAGGCTCTATCTGGGAAACAAGTTTAGGAGATGATTCATCTTTTAACCGTTTGCTTCTTCTTCGGGAGTTATTTGAAGTTCCTTTTCTCTTGCATCTTTCTTTGTCCTCCAGTCCTTGTTTTTCCTTGCCTGCCCTTGTTATGGTATAGACCTCTTCTTCTCCTATGTTCTTAACATTGAGGTAACCGTTCTTTACATAGTCCTTCAAATTAGCCTATAAATGAATAATTTAGTCCCTTCAAGCCAAGAGAATGAAAATCATTGATATATCTGTACGATAAAGCTGTTTGCTCATATATATATATATATGTCAGCTGGCCAAACAGATGAACCAAATTGGCTGAAACATAGGCTATGCATTTTTCTTCTTCAAAATTCCACGGGCAAAGCCGGGCACTTCAGCTAGTAATTGAATATAATTGTTGTGCAATGTACATGAACAGACTTGACTTATTTATTTGCTAGATTTACCTGTAACGAGTACTTAAACCAAGAAGATTCTAGACCAGAATTAAAATATGCTTGAATTAGATCCATAGAGACTCCCAATACATCCTAGTCAAGTCAAGATAAACAATAAGTTGATAAAGAATAAGAATAATCAATTGTTCTAATCCTAAATAAATGCACACATTTGATCTTTTTTATACATTCCTATAACTTACCTTTGAATTTTGAGAAATAAATTCTAGAATTTTCTGCAAATCTGACTTTTTGAGATCATCCGACTGAATGAAAGGGGTGAAGACTGGTTTCTGTAGGCTTGAGGATTTTTCATCACAAGAAATCTCTTCTTCCTGTGACGAAGACTCCTCTGGTTTTTCTCGCCTTGTGAACAGAGCATCAACTAATGGTCTCAGGGTAACATTCAGCCTACTGCTATGCTGGCTGTGGTAATGGTGCAGGACATCAATTTGACTACTCTCAACTGTACTGCATAGCATACACTTGTACTTACTGCTCTTACGAAACCTAAACAAAATGCGGTAAACTACACTGAATAGTTAATATTTGACGAGGAAGAATAAATGAATGAGTAAATTTAAGCATGAATGACCTGCAGCCTTGAGAATGAGCTCTAAGAAGTTTAAAAGTTGTAAACTCCTTGAAACAATGTTTACAGGCAGCAGGATGGATCCCAGAGTGAAGCTGCAGATGTTCAACAAGCTGACCTCCTTTCAGAACCTCCTGAGGAATAACAGATTTAGACAGTTAGCAAGTTACTTTTTGTAACAGTACAATTAATTAGAGCAGAACCAAATTTTAAAAGAAAAGAAAAGTCACTGCTAAAATTAAACAAAGGCAACTGAGAATGACAGAAAAAAGACTGTTAAAAGGAATAGTTAAGAAAAAAATTGATTGGAATAACAGGAGGGTAAGAAACCTAAAGCAGGGAAGAAAGAAAGAAAAATAACCAAGAGTTATGAAATGGCATAAAATTTAACAGTAAGAAAACATGTTAATATAGAACTTAAATCAAAATAATATGGCTGCTGTTACTTAAAAATGAAGACACTTTTAATAAAAAAGAATAATCTATATTTTAAAGCATAGTTGGATAACATATGGCGCAAACCTGACAAATAAGACAAGATTGATCTGAAGCTGGCTGTTGTCTGAACTTGAATCCCATCATATGAATAGGGAACAGAATACAGGGTTCTTCACTTTGTACACTCTCTTAACATAAAAAATGTTAAGATCGCTTTTTTTTTTAGGGGTATAAGATTGAACCAATTGTTAAAGAGAAGGGATGTTGATTAGTTAATTAAAGGAAATTGCTGGGGCTGTTCTGGCCCCCAGTCAACTTTACCCATCATAACTTCTCTGTCTATATGTAGCTTCCCCAGGGTATTTCCCAAGTGGCAACTTCCCAACTGTGCAATTTCCCAAGCGGCAACTTACCAAGTTTGTCCTTGCCCATCCTAGCTTATTCCCTTGGCCCACCATTGCAGCCTGCGGCACCTTAGAAGGCCTAACCTAACCTTAGGTAACTTGCCGCTTGGGAAATTGCACATGGGGGTAGTTGCCACTTGGGAAATTGTCACTTGGAAAGGCGCTCTTGAGAAAATGCCTTTGGGAAAACACCTTTTGTACACGCCTGAGGTCGTCTGTAAAATCCAATAGGGTTTCGTGCTATTAAGATTCCTAGATTCTGGCAAAACCTAGTAAGGGGCTTCTGGGAACCAGATTTGGCTTAGCCCTAGGTCAACCTTGTCAACCCACCTGCCCCCCCTTACCCCTATTTAGGATATTGCTGATCAAAACTTATCGAGTGAAATTCAGGCCACAAACTATATGCTACTATTTTCCCACAAATTCAACATCTAGATCTTGATTGAAACATTATTATTTTTATTTCACAGGAACTCACTACTTTCCGAAGATCAGAAAAAAGGCATATTTTCTCAAAATTGATTACAAATTGCATTTACCTAGATTAGTACATGGCTTGCAGTAACCACAAGGGTCTCGCAGCTCAAACTCAAAAAGTTTGCGAGTGCTTGAAGCATGATGTTCAGTGATGTGTTCACTTAGCTGTGCTTCATTAGCAAGTAAGACTTCACACCTATAAATTGGGATTATAAACCAGGCAAACTTGAGATTATTAATAAATAAAATAATTAACTTGGTTCTTAGCTTACCTAGTACACATAACAAGAGGATTCAATAACCCCTCCAAGCATAAGTGTACAGATTGGCCAGTGTTTAACACTTGATTTTCCCTAGATCCCTTCAAGTCCCCACTGACAGGGATATCTTCACTGACTCGTCTTTCCTTGGTGACGGGGTTATCTTTAAGGACTGGAATATCCTGGGGTCTAGCAATGAAAAGGTTACTTTTGACTTGGGTTGAGTAGGAGCAGCGGGAACAGGAGTAGGTAAACTCAGTTCTTTTGACAGCCTAGACAACCCGACCAAGTTTATTCAATCAATCAAATAATAAATCACCATTATAAAAACTCAATGTTATTTAAACAATCATTTAAACAAAATTGAAAGTAACATAATATAAATGATAAAAATGATATAATTTGTGAGAAAAGTAGCTTTGTTTGGTTCTGTTCCTTATTAGTGGTGTTGCAAGATGAAGGGGTGAAGGCGGGCGAACTGGGTTGGCTTGAACGGCGGGGCAATCGCCGCCTCAAACATGGTGCCGGTGAATTTTTTCTAAAAAAATTAATATTTATCCATATCATTCTTTTTTTTATGTTTCTATATAATTTTTACCTTTTCCTGTAGCTTACCTGGAATCTTCAGATTGTCTTTGATTTTTATGATTTGACAAATGAGTTGAACATGCGGCAAGTGAGCTGAAGGAGAGGTTGCACTGATTACAGGTATAAAGTTGACCCTCTCCCCTTTCTCCTACTTCATCTTCATCCTGTCCACTTTCCTCACCTCCACTCACTTCTTCTTCAACATCTAGGTAAATTATGCATAACCAATAAATCGGTAGAATTTTTTTGAACTTGTTTAGAATGTCAAGTTATTTTTTTTTATGGGTGGGATTCAACATTACTTACAAGACCTGCTAAATAAAGTTTTTCTCCTTCAAATTTTTTCAATTAAATATATTTTGTGCAATACTCCCACCTTTCCTCCTGTTTCCTCTGCTACTCCTCCGCCTAGTGGTGTTGGTTAAACTCCTGTTCCTACTACTGCTCCTGCTCCTGCTCGTGGCCAGGTTGGTTTTAGATTTCTTCTGCTGACCCTTTGCAGCCTTCTTCCGACCCTAGAGGGGACACATGTTTAAAGGGATTGTTCGCAAACTGTTAGAGAACAAATTCCAAGTAACCTTACTTGCAAAAGAGTGCAATTAACGATCCTCATTAGTAATTAACGATCCTCATTAGTAATTATCGATCCTCATTAGTAATTAACGATCCTCATTAGTAATTAACGATCCTCATTAGTAATTATCGATCCTAATTAGTAATTAACGATCCTCATTAGTAATTGTACCTTCCAAACTAACTATTCATAATTAACGATCCTCATTAGTAATTGTACCTTCCAAACTTTGCGCCTGCATTGCCTCGATCCTGTTCGTCCAAGTTGGCAAACATGTGACATTTCTTGAAGCGACACGTGCGTCCCCGCTGACACGACAAGCAAAGCTGACAAGGAACCTTCCGACAACGGTCACACACACCACACCCAGGTAGCTTCGATACATTCACCTTACGAAGACAAAATTAAACTTGGTCACTAATCAGTTTGTATTTATCAAAGAAAAATATCAAAATTATTTAATTGAATTGATTGCTTTCAACTAGATATATTTTATCATTTCCAAACATCAGTAATTTCTAAAAAATCAAGAGGTATATAATACAATTCTTTCAGTTAAAAAAATTCCCCCCACCCCCATTTGAAAATTTTTTTTTGTTCTGAATATTTTGGATTTTTATTGATTAACTGGGAAAATAAATGATTTAAAAACAGAAACAATTTATTTAAAAAAGGGGAAGGGGGGGGGGGGGAAGAGGAAGAACAAATTTTCTTTCCAGAATAAAAAACATAATGATTCGTCTACCTTGACCCTTTTGATGTTGACCCGGCTATGTTTCTCCTGTGGGTTGACCAGCGTATTCACGGAAACTTGAGATAAGTTAACAATCTCCCTGGTTTTAGATACCAAATCATACCTAGGAAATATGCCTGATTATTTACAACTTTTCAATCCATTCCCATAAAAAAGAACGTAAGAGCACCATTTAGCAACATCTTTAGTTTTTAAAACATCTTTAAAACTTTTGAGATATCTTTATTCTCCATCTTTACTTTTTTCAAAAAAGGTTCTGAAAATGTTGCAAAATCTCTTTAGTTTTAAACACATATTTTTAAGTTCAAAAATGAAATCTAACTCATATTTTCAGAGTTGTAAATCCAAAACTTATAAACAGAAAATTCGCAATCAACGTATTTAATTGTAGTTGTAAATCTACAACTAATTGCAAAAGATAAAGTACATGATTGCACCTAGGGTTGCAATAAAATATTAGGTTTTCAATTTGCGTCATAATTTTGTTTGAAGTTTAATTTTATGTCATCGCAATTTCAAGTGACCCTTCATTTATAGAGTTGCATATCTGATTCACAACGGTACCCCTTAATAACTTTGACTGAAAAATAATGCATGATATATCAACCATCTTCTCTTGAAAAATTGTTTGTTATGAATAAGATTTCTCGTAAAATTGACGCTTTACAGAAACAATAGAATTAAGTGTTTGAAGCTAGAAAAACGAAGATATTTTTCACAATATTGATCAGATAACGGTTAAAAACCCCTCTTTAAATGGAAAGTAACGTTAGCCCTTTTAATACAATTTTAAAATACAATTAGACCCAAGGAACGTGAAATATAGTGAACACAGATCCAGTTCACTTCATAAATTGACATAAAAGCAAAAGGTGAAACTATTTGCTTTATAACAACATCAAAATGCTCATAAGAATGTTTAAATATCGTCTTCTTATTCCACAGTTTTATAGATCTCTCTGTACCCCGGATAAATAAAACCAACCTGTTAATGGATTGACTGTATCTTTCATTGTGTCCAGAATCCTCCAGATGTTTTACAAATCTTGTATAACTGAGATAAATAATATTATTATTATTATTTATCAAAATTGTAAAATATCTAAATATATCAAATATCTTCTATTCAGGTATATCTACTAGCACCCCCCCCCCNACTTGGTTTTGTCACAAAACTCCTCTTAAAATGCATTTGTCTTGTGTATCAAGACGAGAATAGGAAAAAATGAATTTATTCTGATAATCTTTTCATTTGCAAACATTGTATTCGGGTCCGTCCTAGTATACGATTTTTGAACTCTGGGAATTGGAATTTGGGTTTAATAACAGTTTAAAAAAAAGTTTGGACTCTTTAGCTGTTGTTATAGGGACTGTCAGACGGAACGGAACTCCTTCATTTGTTAATTTGCATGTTATTTTCCGATTCACAATGGTACCCTTTTACCTTTGCATGGTTATGGATGCATGATACATATTCTAGCTGCAAGTGGAGATTTTCAATAGTGATTAGCGGATTTATGTTGCAGAGACAATAAACTTGAGATTTCAACACTAAACGACGATATCGTCCTTAATACTACTCAGATAAGGTTTCCACGATACTGCTGGGAGTCGGATATGCCATTCTAAAATCAAACCTGTCAAATTCGTCCGAGCAAGTCAAGCACTCCCAGTTGTTGTTGTGAATATTTCTGCAGTACGTTTAGGTAAACAAACATGATTTAGGGGTTATCTATATCCATGTATATAAAGTTATAATCTCTGTTTGTCTGTTTGTTTGTTTGTTTATCTGATCATAACTCAGGAACCCCTGAATTGATTTGCCTCAAATTCTAAATTGGAAATCTTGGGAGAACCACGGAAAGGTTCTAAGCTTGGTTTTGAGATCCTGAGTTGAGTTAAAGTCGAATTAACGACAAAGCGCGAGTAATTAGTGGGACTAACTATGACCTCCTGTGCAACGCTCGCGGATAGATGGCAGTCAAAAACCTTTTGTAAGAATACATTATGTCGTGCCAAACGACTAAAGACCTTCTTAACCCAGCCCGTGAAAGCTGATTATCAGTCTGTTTATATATCTAGTTTGTTGGCCTTGACGTTCCTGTGTTTTTGAAGACGAGATTCCTCCATAAATCCCATCAAACAGAACATACATTCAAATGCAAATCCTGAAATCAATCAATCAATCAACCTACAAACAAACTAATCAATAAACGAATCAATTAACCAATCAGTTAACCAAGCAGATTATCAACCAATTAATTATTCAGTCAATCAACTAATCAATTAAACATTCAATCAACTAATTAATCAATCAATCAACTAACCAATTTATCAATCAATAATAAAATCAGCCATTTACTGACCTGTAACATGAAGTTTCTGATGGGACTTCAGAGCTCTATCCCCTTCTACGCCAAACTGACAAACAGGACACATCTTCAGTTCCTTCCCTAGATAGATAGATAGATAGATAGATAGATAGGTAGATAGATAGATAGATAGATAGATACATAGATACATAGATACATAAATAGATAGATAGATAGATAGATAGATACATAGATAGATAGATAGATAGATAGATAGATAGATAAATAGATAGTTTAGCTCTAGAGTCTAGATACCTTTACTAACTACTAGATCTCCGGGTAGGCTGTGCTTAGAATGTTTAGCTCTACATACCTTCACTAACTACTAGGTCTCTGGGTAGGCTGGGTTTAAAATGTTTAGCTCTACATACCTTTACTAACTGCTAGGTCTCCGGGTAGGCTGGGTTTAGATAGTTTAGCTCTACATACCTTTACTAACTGCTAGGTCTCCGGGTAGGCCGGGTTTAGAATGTTTAGCTCTACATACCTTTACTAACTGCTAGGTCTCCGGGTAGGCTGGGTTTAGATAGTTTCCTGAAGGGAGCTAGGTTTAGCTCTACCCCGGAGATATGTTCAGAACTCCTGCAGTGCTTGATTAACAGGTTCTTATTCCTGGAAGAAAAGTGCATTTATATTTCCCGTCTTTTATTTTAATTTTAGGTTGGTTCAATATCATCTATTGAATTTATATAATTATTATTGCGATAAACAACCTTGTTTTCAATAAAAAGGGCGCTAGCCCATTTAATAATTATTAATTTTAATTTGCTGTCAAATTTCCTTTTTATAACATGAATTGTGATTTTTTAATATTTTGCTTCAATTTTTTTTAATTTATTGTCCACTAGGTACATTTCTTGTCAATTTCCTGTTCAATTCCTGTCCATTTCCTGTTCATTTCCTGTCCATTTCCTCCAATTCCTGACCAGTCCTATCATGTCTTTTTAGTACTTTTTTATGTGTTTTTCTGTTCCTTTCTATCCTTTTATGTTTCATCTTGTCTCATCCTGTCCTATCCTGTCCTATCCTGTCCTATCCTGTCCTATCCAGTCGAATACTGTCGAATACTGTCGAATTCTGTCCTATCCTATTCTATTCTGTCCTGTACTATTCAATTCTGTCCTGTCCTATCCTATCATGTCGTGTCCTATCCTATCCTATCCTGTCATATCATGTCTATCCTATCCATACCTTGAGGCGAACTCACAGTACGGACAACTATATTTCTGCTGTGCTTCAGCTCCATGTTCCTCATCCAGATGCAGGAGTAGGAGGTTCAGTGAACTATAACCTAGTTAGATAGATGTATAGACAAATAGGTAGATAAATAGATTGAAAGATATATGGATAGATTGATAGATATGTAGAAAAATAGGTAGACAGACAAATAGGTAGATAGAAAAATAGGTAGAAATACACATATATAGATAGCTGACAGATGGACAGACAGATAAATAGACAAACATATAGATAAATAGATAAATAGATGAATAGATAAATAGATAGATAGACAACTAGGTAGAAAGAAAAATAAATAGAAAGAAAAATAAGTAGAAAGACACATAGATAGATAGATAGCAGATCTACAGATTGATTAATTCCTATTTTAACCAGGAGAGATTTTATGACTTTTAACGCCTCCTTTTAGACACA